TCTTCTATGCAGAAAAAATAATTTTCCTTAGTTGTGAGCTACAAATAATATATTCTAGGGAATAAAAATGTATAGTATTTAATATATAGCAGTGGGTGTTCACACTGGCATCCCATTCAGGCCGCCACGTGCGTGAATAAAATGATCGAGATTGATTTATAATGCTTTGTAGGATGCCTACAGCAGCCCTCATATCAATGAATTAGGAAGCATGGGGGCCCAGGCAGAGGGCAGGGTGCTCTGGAGGGATGCCATCTGCATCATTACTACGCAACACATAATAATGATAATGACAATAATAATAATACTGTGATGGGTTGGTACCCTGTCCTGACTTATTCTCTGCCTTGTACCTATAGCTCTGTGATGGGCTACAAACCCCCTGCAACCCTGAATAGGACAAGAGGGTATAGAAAGTGGATGGATGGATGGATGGATGAATAATAAGATATAATATATAACACTCCCTGGACCAGCGTAACTGGCTGTCTGTTGTTAAAGGTGCCCCTCTGTTTAGCCAAGATTACATGCAGAGGGTTGGAGTCATTGTCCAGTATAGCCCACAGTTTCCTGAGAGCTCTCTTATCCACCAATGAATCCAGGCTGGCTCCTAGAACTGAGACGGCTTTCTTAATTAGGTTGTGGAGCTTTTTGGCATCCCCTTGCATTGATACATTGATGCCATTGCCCCAACACACCACTACATATAAGACTGCACTCACAACAGACTGGCAGAAAACAAGAAGGGGTGACCTACACATATCAAAGGATCTTAGTCTCCTCAGCATATGTGCGTGTGTGTGTGTGTGTATAAAGTTCTCTGAATTTTACATACATCATGTACAATATCTCCTGACAAAAAAAATGTTTTGGTCTTAATATACTCGTATATTTGATGAAGAATAGCACAGGATAACACAATAAAAACAAAAAAGAAAGAGAGGGAAAAGTATTACATGGAAACATTACCATGACACAATTATCGGCAGTTTGAAAAAATAACTAGATTGTTATTGCAGTGAAATTAGACTCACCTGTTTCAGTACTCACATGGCTTGAATTGCCCAATGAAGGATTCCTTCAGTAGTTCCTTTCAGTAGTTCCCTTTCATGAATGGCAAGAGAGCCATCCAAGATGGCTATTATCACCAAGCACAAGGGTACAAGGTCATCTCCAAAGACTTTGGAATCCCTACTTCAAAAGCTCACAATGTTATAAGAAGATTGCTGCTTTTGGTCAAGACATGCTAGGAAGAGAAAAATTGATCAGAAAAGTCAAAAGCTGGTGCAAACCGCAGAAAAAAAAAACATGTAAAACATTCATGTAATTATCATGTAAAATAATCATAACATATGCAGACATCTCACCCCTCCTGGAAGTCATGGGAGTCTCCCGCAAACTGACAGCAGCTGCTAGACACCCGCGAATGATGTGCAATATCCCAGACACCTGCTGCTCTGCTATTCAGCGTCGATAAAATAAGTCAACAAGAAGTTTTATTGCTGCAATCTTGCCCCACCAGGTCACCCTCTAGCTCCGGTCGGCAAACTCTGCTGCCAGCACCCTGTAGTTGACAAAGCTGCAGTATTACAGTAATACTGCCCAAGCCTCATCGACCGCCCCCACCAGAATCACACCTCATCCCCCACCCCGGAATCAATATGCTGCACACTACACCAAGAAGGGCTTTATGGGTTAATGTCATATTTTCTGAGAAATCTCTATATTTAAGTTAAAAGGTTACATTTTATTGAAAGATTATACAATAAAAATTGTGATGATACAAAGGTGATACATTTTCAGTTATTTCTCAGGATGTTGCGCATGATGCAAAACAATTCAGAGGTGCCAATAATGTTTACCAGTGCTTTATATAATAAAATCTGTACAGTTAGGTTCACAGAAGATTTATAGGAAGTGAGCAGCATGAAGACCAACATAAATCAAGTGTTGCCTCCTAGCTTGTGAGAAGTGCCACTGTTCAGTTATAGCATGGCTGCTACACATCTCCAGATTGCAAGGTTTCTATAACTGCTACACATTTCCAGATTGCACGGTTTAATGCTGTCCTGACTCTTTATGTGTGGTTTTTGTATGTCTTCCACTGTTTTGCAGGTTTCCTCCTATAGACAATGCAGCTATGTAAAGTAGCATCTCTAAATTGTCTCCCATTGTGAGTGTGAGTCCCATGATGGACTGGCATCCCATCAAAGTAATACTTAAACTTTCCATGCTCAGTTCATTGTATTTTCTGTAGGTATTGTTTCTTTTAGTTATGTTTCATTTGCAATACTCAGGGGATTTAAAGTATAATGCCATTTGTTTGTTAGTGTGTTGTTACATTCTAATTGCATGGATGTCTGGATGAAGTGTGTACATTCAGTGTTCTTTGCAATGTAAATTATTTGATATTTTTATCTTTTTTGAGTTACTTTTTTGGTTGCTGGGAAAAGCTTGTTTCTGTCAAAATGAAATGTACAAGTAAAGCTAATTCAGGAAGCAGGACACTGGACTGATCCACAAAGCTATCATGACACAGGAGTTGGAGTTTTAGTAAAATTCACTTTCTTAGTATTTGGTTTCATCTTTTGATTTGGGTAGGTTTGATTTAGTTGTGGGATTATGTTGCATGTAGATGACTTTTTGCGTTTGGTCTGTCTGTTTCTCTGTCTGTTTCTCTGTCTGCCTGCCTGCCTGTACAGTATCTGACTGTCTGTCTGTCTATACCAGCTTAAATTTAATTGGTCCCTGTGGTAACACAGTGGTGCAGTGGTTAGAATTTTGACTCACCCCTCTGGGAGCTTCATCTATGTGGAGTGTGTATGTTCTCTCCATGTTGTCGTGGGGGTTTCCTCTCTAGTTTCCCTCCACAGCCCAAAAGCATGCTGAGGTTAATTGGAGTTACCAAATTGCCCATAGGAGTGCATGTGTGAGTGACTGATGTGTGACTGTGCCCTGTGATGGGTTGGTGCCCCATCCTGGGTTGTTTCCTGCCAAGTGCCCATAAGCTCAGGACCCCCAATAACCCTGAATAGGTTGAGTGGTTACAGAAATTGGATGGATAGTTGGACCCCTTTGTTATAGGCCAATGGTTAGTTTTATTATGTTCTTCTTGTAGGTAATTGCAATTTAAAAATACTTTTCTTTCCAGTATAAGTACCTGGGGTGAGCTTCCCTAACCCTCCTTAATGCCACATCATTCGTAGGTTCTATCTTTTAACGTAGAACTTATGAACGACATAGCATTAAGAAGGTTTTGTGAAACCCTCCCCTGATCAGTACCATTGATAGGCAGTTCCTGTGCCCTATTAATTTGCTACCATATGGCCCAATTCTGATTAATGTTGCAACCTGGTCAAATTGTATACAGGGCTGGTATGGTGGCACTTATCAAACTGCCTTGAACGATGACTGGAAAGGGAGGAAATGTGTCTGTTTTGGCTTGCTGCTGTTCTGGTTTCTCTAATTATGCAGCTGTGTTTAATTGTGGGTGCTGTTTTTCTTTTGGGTGTAACAGTGGGAGGATAAATGAACAGGATCAGGCTAACAGGCAGGTTTGAAGAATAAAAAATAAATAAAAGCTGACTCGGGTTTGGTTCTGCTGTGTTTTGATTGGCGATGGCCAGGATGGTTGCTGTGTAGGACAGTGTGTGAACGAATTCCTGGTAATTGGTCTCAAAGGCTCAGAGAATTTATAGAGATGGCACAGCTTGTAGTTTTAAGTCTCTCGTATAGAGGATTAATGGAGAGGGAGACAGGACGCGTCGCTGGGTTTCTCCCATGTTGCTCACTACTGTCTCTGACACAGTAGTCCCACAAATTGTCACTTGTTTCTCAGGTAATCCATGACCCAGGAACCTATGGGACACCAACTTGCATCTCTTATAGCTTGTTTCCTAGGTTGTATGGTGTTGCCGTGGAGAAGTTGAAGAAAATGATCCTGACCATACTACCCTCCAGGGCTGGCGTGGGATTAAAAATTAGCCCCGGAATTTGAAGCCCCCCCATGATATATTTTGCCAAACGGGGGTGGGGATGCTACCCAGTACTGTATGTCAGATGTGCCTGGGTCAGGTGGTCTTTGACAAAGTGTTGAGCTTTGTAATAAAGCACATGATAAAGCTTTGTAATAAACCTTTGAAGGTTTTCATTGGATTTTGATTTTAAAGCTAAAGATCTGTAGGGACACTGGGACACCCCTACGGAGGTGCTGGTACTGTACAGCTGTGGTATACATGCTGGAAAGTTCTGTCCTTACTTGGAGATGTACAGTGTTTGAGGAGGAGTAGGGCTTGAAGTCTTTGGGGAAGCGTCCTCTGTGGCGTGATGGACAGAAGAGGTAGCTGGAGAGGTACGTTACGTCCTTTTCATGATCTGTGATTTGTAACTGGGGAAGCAGCACACTGTCTTTGTGGGGATTATAAAGTCCACAGAGAAACTGAAATAATCAGAAATGCAGTCCCTCAATGTCCTCACCATACGTCTCACAAAACATATTCCAGTTGGGCAACTCTAAATCTTTATTTCATGCACCTTAAACACGTCAATGATACATTATAAGAATGATAAAGAATCGTTTTGAAACTTATATTACCAGCATATGACCTTCTTAATGTGATGTACAGATTTAATAAAAAAATTATACAGTTTGGAATACATAATCGAAGTATACTATAGCAATTAATTTTACACGCGTTTTATTTAGCCTATAACTATTTAACACCGATTAGATTTTAAAAATATTTTCTTCTTATTGATGGATCTTTGAAATTAAGTAATTCCAAAATAATTATTTTTATAACGTTTTGCTTGGTGTTCAGAATTAAGTTATATATATACACGAAATCTGTAGAAGTTATGGTATATTAAGGTTCTTCGGTTAATTGTATATTTGCAGTCTATGTCGTTATATTACCGTTACCGTATGACATAAAGCTCGCTTTTGAAAATGACCACTCATCTAGCTACCTGCGGGCAGGTTGTTTGTAGCAACAGCATGAGGAACGACACATTTTAACAAGTATCCTCTCGCTCAGCATTCGCCTTGTGCTCAATTCTAGTGTTGACAGTCTTGTTTTCGTCTGACTTGTATCAATTGTCAGCTGTTTCAGAGTTAACCTGGCCATATTTCTAGGTTTTTATTGTTGTTGGGTTTTGCTGTTTACTTTATAGATCCGGTTTTTAGATGGTAAGCAGTTTTCTGGGGGAGACTCGCTTTTCTGGACATGATGATGAAGATGACCGAAGCTTGTAGGAAATCAAAAATACGATCAGTCAAACTCGGACTGTCTATAATTTGTTCGGATGAATGTGTAATTGTATTGGTCATTCACTTCTTATTCTCAGCAAGCGAAGGTAAGAATTGCACATCAATGATACTTTACACTGTTTGAAGTTTTAATGTATAGTTTTTTTTTGGGGTGGGGGGGGGGTAGCTTTCCGAAGATTTCACATTTTGGGGCTCACTTTGAGGGGGACTCTAAAACGTCATTTGCGTTATACTTATGTCAATAAAAAATGCTTCGACTATAATAGTTCTAGTTCACTTTTTGACAGAAAGATAGCTTTCTCTTTTTGTAATTTTTAATAACATTTAATTTTCATAAATGAATTCATTTAAATAGGTTTAATTCCACACAAGCGTTGATTATTATTATTATTATTATTATTATTATTATTATTAGTAGTAGTAGTAGTAGTAGTAGTAGTATAGTAGTTAAATGTGTTTTCAAAAGCAGATATCTTTCGTTCGTTTGCTTTTTCTCACTTTTGTATTTTGTAGTCATTAAGGAATGATTAAGCCAAACAGTATATCATTATTGGAACTTAAAGTACTGGATCTATTTTATTCACACGACCCCGTAAACTCCCCGTAATTAAAATGATATACAAAATACAGAACGCACTGTACCCAGTTTTGCGCATATGACAATGTATCCTTTCCCTCAGCAAACAGTGAATTAGCTCATTCGAGGTCAGGTAGGTTCTTTGAAGCGATAGATATGTTTCTTTAAAACAAATACAAGTCATTTTGATATTAAGAAATTAAAGCCATAACATTCGGAAGCGAGTTAGATACGCGAGTGTTTGGGAAGAAAGATTAAAACTATGGTGATGTATAAAACACTACTCCGAAAATAATACAGCTTCTTAACGGCGATCAGTAATATTACAAGTAAATACTTAATAGCTAGATTAGGTAATATTATCAATAATATTAATGATAGTAATAATACTATTATTATTCTTATTCAGGGATCCCCTAATAAAAAGACACCAAACTTAAACAGCTCCCAGCACTATTGCTTGGTTACGTAATAGGGGTGGGGCGGAGTTGACCTCGACTTCATCCAGAGGCATAATGTACAGAGGAAAAGAATGATCAGGATCCTCTAGGCCTACTTAATAATTTGGCTCTGAACATGAAGAATGGATGAACAGAACTTCCAAAAATATGAACTGCTGTTCTTTAACACCCTTACTCTTTACTTGGTGCAATTACTTACGTGTAATTACTGTACAGTATTAATTTAAAGGCAATGGGGTAAAAACTGGACAACTTGCACAATACATTATATAGTGTAATGCTTCAGAGCCACCTTTGACAGGTCATATCTGAGGTACTTGTGTTCGGTCTTCAGGGAGGAGCATAGATGTTTAATAATGAGTAATAGTAGCAAAGTAAAAACCCAGAGAGGGTGGGACACAGACAGTTAATAATGGCAGCTCATAGCAAGGAGAGGCTAAGGTCATGTTCTTACTGGTCTACATAGCCAAAGAAGGCTTTCCTCAAAGGTCTTTCTATGCACTGGGTACCAGTCCAAAGAAAGAAATCTTCAGAGAAACCATAGTGCAATAAAAGGCTGTTGTTGCAAGGATCCTGTTTAATTATAACATGTGTCAGCCATAATTAAAGAAGATCTTGGATCACTTATAAAGGAAACATAAAAGCACAATAGATTTCATCTTCCTTCATGGAAGCTTTGTATAACCCATAATAGCCACAGAGAGAGAGAGAGAGAGAGAGAGAGAGAGATCCCGTAGAGGGAAAAATTTCTGGTTACGGCAAACCAACGACATGTAGAATCATATAACATACGTCACATAATATACATCACAACAGGCATGTTAAAAAAGATGACATAAGTAAAACAAAAACAAAGAATAATGTACAAAAAGTATGCTAATAAACTGCAAATAATTGCTAGTATTATGCAAGTAGCGTGCGAGTAATGTAGTAACTTACAGCTCCCCTTGTCCGACAATAACGTGAACTGCTCTGCAGTGCGGTGGTGGTTGGTAGCGATGATTTCCAGAAGCGCTCCTTGTTAATAGCTATTCGTAAATGTGACCTTTACAACTAAAGACCTGTTATCTTTATAAAATGAACTTGCAAGCCTAAAATAACATTATCATGATAAAACACACTTGGCAGTATCTCTGTAGTAAATCACCAGTGGGGGGCACTTTTATATGCTTACATATTTTCATTCCTTTAAAAATTAAGTTAACAATAATAATTGGTAGAGGAAAAGCACTGTGTATATTGTGTTGTCTACTCCAGAATTTCCATAAGTGAAAAAAATCCTAAAAGCAACATATGTTTGTTCAATGGCATAACATCCCCAGATAAATATAAGCAAAAGGAAGCAAAAAAAAAAGTTGCTCAGGTACTTCCCAGCATGCTTCGCTTCACCTGCCATGCGGCACACAGCAAGAAGACTTATAGATGTGCTGATCTGACATGGTCCAGTGTGACAATGCCAGTCTGTCACTAAGGTGCTGCTCTCCTGCCCTCTGTAGTGTCCGCCATGGTGGCTGATGAGCTTCGCTTCAAAGGATGTCTGCTGGGAGACTTTCCATGCGGGAACCTGAGCATCTGCTTGCCACAAGGGCTGCACTGCAATGGCCACCCGGACTGCCCGAACGGCGCCGACGAGGAGAACTGTGGTGGGTTTCTTACTGAGGAAGTCCTAAATGGAAACTTAGGTCGGAATCATTAACAAAACTTTGTAATTATGATCAGTCTACATCCACTAATACTGCTGCTGGTTCTCTATAGCCATTTGCTATTACCTAAACTGAATCAAACTGAAATGTTTCTCAAGTGTGGGCAATAATTTAATGTGTGTCTTTCTTGCATTTCTTTTTCAAGTTGTCTTCATGTTGACATAGAGTTAATTTTTATCATTATTATTAACATTGCAAGGTAATGCGAATATACAATGTATAAGAACTATTGGGAGAAAGTAGATCCAATGTTAAGGCTGATTTGTACTGTATTTCGGCGTAGAATCTACGCCATCAGCAGCCGCATAGCTGCGTACCCTGCACTGTAGCCCGATGCCTGTAGTTACAGTTCTGGAGAGGTGTGCGTCAGGCTTAGGGTTTGAGGCTATGCTGAAGCATAAATCAGCCTCTAGCTAAGCAAGTTTTGAGTTGCCACCACCATATGATAATGACAGTTCTCTTTTTGTCCACCCCCATCTTGCTCTTCATGACACACATGTAGGTGAGCTTGCCAGTGAAGGGCAGCCACCAGCAACAGTGCCCAGGGAGCTGGGGGTTATGGACCTTGTTCAAGGGCCCACACATGTAATTATTCTGTCAAGGCTGGGGCTCAAACCAGCAACCTTCTAGTCATAGGCTTAGCCTGCTGAGCCACACACTGTCCTTTTAAAGTATCAATAGGCGAAATATTTCTAAACCAAAAAAATCAAGATGCTGTGTACATACAGTTTTTTAAACCAGCTGATGGTCATGTTTTTGGCCTCCATTGGGTTAGACCTCAAACAGTAATCCTTCTGAGTTTCATAGCCACACGTTTTTTATGAGATCTCTTTTGACTGTACCCTACATCCAGCAAAAACAGGGCTTAGATCCCTTCAGCTTCCGTCCTGTCTCACTGAAGTAAAGCAGCTTGGTCTCTCCCCACAGGGGACAACAGCGGCTGGGCAGACTTCTTTGATCGCGTTGTTCGCCGGACTGACCCGCAGGACCTAGCCAGCCATTGCTGTGAGTGTAGGTGCTGGCTAGGCACCCAAAAGGCTTGTGTGAGGGCTAGTAACTGCTGCGGAAAACAAACTGAAACATTTCATTAGTCAACACTATTAACTATTGCCTCTAGTAAGATTGCATAAGTGGATTAATTATTAAAGGCCTCTCTTAAGGATATAATGGAAGCATACCTAACTGTCTTTGAGAGGGGGACCATTTGATCAAAAATTGAATTCCTATATAGGGGTAATAATAATAATAAGAATGATGCCTATTCTAGCAGTTTCCATTGTATGATCATTGTCTTTTTTGCAGTGCTGGAAAAGTATCTGGATGGCTGCAAGTGCATTCAGACTGAGCTCCAGTGTGTGCATCTGAATCTGGACACTGTCCCACAGGCATCCAGGAATGTCACCTCACTGTAAGTCCCTCTGTGGCCCATGTCTTTCACCTCACTGTAAGTCCCTCTGTGGCCCATGTCTTTCACCTCACTGTAAGTCCCTCTGTGGCCCATGTCTTTCACCTCACTGTAAGTTCCTCTGTGGCCCATGTCTTTCCTCTCTGTTTTGCACTAAATATTGCACGTAGTCAGAGGCACCACTAGAGATTTTGGGCCCCATGAAAGCACATCAGGCTGCTGCCCCAACCCAGACTAATCCAGCGCTGTGCACCTGCCATAACCACACACTGAGCTCCAAAACCCACATGACACAATCAAACAAATGTAATTATTTTATTAATTTTACCTTTGTAGACTGGTAGCTATGGAATTTATTACTGTCAAAACAAACATGTTCCATTATTGAGTACTTTTCCTGTAAACAAACTGGACTGCAATTCTAAACTCAAAAGACATTTTTTTTGTTTATATCTCCACAGTTAGCTCTGTGTTAAGCTAACTGCTGTCTGTATTATCTGCCTGCCTCCCTTCAGCTGGGGGGTCGGGTTTGGGGAGAATGTGATTTACTGAAGCCGCATTTGTGCATGACTCACCAGGGTGGAACTGATTTAGACAGTGAGCGTGAATTATATTAGCTTATGTTCAATTTAAAGTTAAATTTCTAATAAAGCAGCAAACTGAAAACTTTCTTTTAATGAGAAGATAATATTACCAAGCACATTTTATTGTGTAATTATTTGTAGGACTAACAAGCTAATTTTACTAACATAAACATTAGCTATAGAATTAGAAGTAAATGATTCATTTGCATTACATCCGGATGGGCACAGACAAACCCTAATGTAAATAAATGGACTTTTTGCTGAGAAAAAGAGAGTCAGCAACTGCCACCTTCTCTTTGGTCTTTCAACATTTTGTAGCCTTAAGTTTCTTTTCTTATAACCTTATAATATGATTTTATTTTTATGCACACACTGGAATTCGCACTAACATCCAGTGTGTGGTGAAGGGGAAGGCAGGGCTCAGTCATTCCAGTTAAAACACAGGGGGGTACAGAGGATGTCTCATATGCTTATTTTTGCCAAAAACAAAAAAAAAGAGACAAAAATACAGAAAAAACAAATATTCAGAAATAATAAATAATGTATTTTGCAAATTGCAATTTCAATGTCCAATAAAACGCGATACAATTATGTTCCAAATATTTTAGGACCCCTGTCACTCAGGGACTCTTGGAATCATCCTCACTCCCTCTCCCCCTTGCATGTAGTAGTTGTGTAGTTGTCATCAGTAAGTTATCTGACCCTTGGTCTTTTTCATACATAAAACAGATGTTGAAAATATGACAGCTATAGCAGTGGTCGAGGGGAGTCGAGGGGGCATGGATACGCTGACAGAGTTGGGGGGCCCAACACTGTAGAGGGGCTCCCAGAACCTGGCAGTAGGCAGTCCCCCCCCTGCCCCCGTTCTGTAAAATCTATCTGTATTTCTTTTGATTGAAAGTGCCAAGCCTAGCAGGGGGGGCCAAGATGACATTTTTCAGGGGCCCAGAATTCCGAGCTACACCCTTGGCAGTTTATGTGTGAAATTGACACTTGAATTCCTTGACGAAACAACAGGATCCAGGCTGATTTAGTATCTAAATCCACCACATTACTGCCTTTGGAATTCCATCCAGCCTGGACAGCATCTGATTAGTGTTAAAAGGGTAGATATGAATTGATGTTCTTTTAATTTTTAATCCTCTTGGATGATCTTTCTGGGAACTGACCTGCAGGTGGTTTCATCTGTGGATGCACCAGTCCGTTTTTGTATCTTTTGGCAGGGTGGACTAATGCTAGGATCATACATTTGGCCGCAAAGCAATTGGATGATTTAAGCGGTACTTTTCTGGTGCCAGGGGATGTACGGCTGCACCTAGAACCTGTTAAGCAATGTAATGGCTATATTCAAACAGACAAAATGCACGCAAGTACATTTCGGTAGCATCAATGCCATTTTTCTTTGTCAGCTGTCATTTCCACTTTATAATCCTTTAAAGAAAGCCTTATCATGCATGTGCACAAAGCTTTCGATTCCTTTTGAATTCTTCTGATTGTATAAATACTTTATCCTGTTAAATGGGTGATGTGTGGGATGTCATTGATGCTGCTTTAGCTATTCTCCATCTTTTTGGGGAAATTATTTTTTAATACGTGACAAATGCTCTATTTGTCAGGGTATCAGGTTCATCTTCTGTGTTTCTTTCAAAGTAAAAGTACCTTGGTTTTGCTTAGTTTTCAGAGGGAAAATATATATAACATATACAATATCATCAGAGGTGGGTAATTCAGGTTCAGGTCCAGAATTCAGGTAGAGAGATTTTGTTTCAACCAACCAGTAGAGTTTAAAGAGTCACAGTCACAGAGTACTCAGCTGGTTGGTTGAAACAAAATCTTGGTCTAGATTTACTCTTTGGAGTACCCACCTCTGAATACAATATATGTAAGTAAAACTCAGTGACATGTTTCTTAGATGTGCATGCTCATTAAGACGAATAGACCATTCCTGCAAACACTGAATTATGTGAATGAAAGATAATGCACACAGCACACAGTCAGGGTGCAGAGGATCACATCCTGTTTGACTAAGTATTAGGAGGTCTAAGAAGCCTGATTTAAGTGATTATAAATGGGGTGTGATTGTTGGTGCCATATGTGGCCATTACGTAATTATCCGCCATCCTGGGAATTTTACAAACACCAGTGTCTAGAGTTCACTTATCAGACGACTCGTTTACCCTGAAGGCAAAGATGGGCTTACCTGGCACTAGCTTGGTGTACTTAATGAAGTGGCAGCTGTGTGTGTGTGTGTGTGTGTGTGTCCTGCAGTACACTAGAATGCAATGGTGGGGGTCTCCTTGCCAGTGCAAGGCTCCAGCACATCCCCATCAACCCAAACCGAAGTGTACCGATCTACTTGTACAGACAACTTAATGAACAATTATTCAATATAAATCAAGCAATTAACAAGCTGTCTAATAATTCCTCCTCCCTCATTCCCTGTACGTCTGATTTATTCCTGAGTATCTTTCTTAATTGCTTCAATTATATTAAAAAATAAGTATTTTAAAATTGGTATTACATCAATACTACACCAGAACATACCATTCTAAGAACATTAGGCACGAGTTCACATTTGTCTTTCTTTGTCTGTTTCATTTTGCAGTTACTTTTATCCATGATCTGTCAAAAAAAGATCCAAATTTTGGTAAACCATTCTACAAAGCTTCTACACCCTGATAATTCTCTTTGTTGGCATTGTGTAAGTGTTGTTGAAGCAGCAAGACTGCAAGAGGAGCATTGTCACTGGCTATCTGTGTAAACCTTTCCCCAAACAGGAAGTATAATTGAAGTGAGCTGTTGACTGGCTGCTCAGATGTGATAGTGATCATCAGGGCATGAAAAAATTATACAAAGGGTTTTTCTTAATGCTCTGTACCCCGTACACTTACTAGTTTACAACAGTCAAATATTTGCACTACATTAAAACGATCCATGTCCTATTCCTCTGCACTGTCCATATAATATCTTGGCCTTTATTTTACTGTCTAGGTCTATTGCAAGACTGGTATATTTTACAGTGGATATTAAAAGTCTTATTGAAATTTCAGCTTTTCGTGATGCAAAGCCAGAAAGCAAGATAAATCATGTGAGAAGATTGAACACCTTCAGTGTGACAATGCAACCAACAAAATATATGAGAAAAATAGATAATTCACAGGACAAAATGCTGAAATTTAAGAAGTCCACGACACCATAGTTTCAAAGGTGTGCATGCCCTTTAATCATGGGTCTGTCGCAGTGTTCAAAGGAATCAGATTCAAAATCCAAAGATTAGCAGCATGCACCCACCATCAGAGAAAGTGATTCAATGACCTCAAACAAATGTCAGCAATATCTGTAGGATTTCCTTGAGATATCCATGGTCCACATGGATGTAACAGAACACATATGGTATCCTATTGCTGAAAGGTGCTGGTCAGGAGAGGGGAATCAAGGAATATCAGGGGCGCTGGATGTACCGTGGAACACTGTGATCTTCAATAAGTGGAGAGAATGTGGCTCCGTGGGGACATTGCTAAGATTAGGATGACCCTCCAATGATGAGGACAGGACAAGGAGAAAGCAGGGAAGCTTTCAGGCAGCCTACATTAAAGGAGATGCAGGAATTCCTGGCTCACTCCATGCATGTCACAATATCCTGTATCCTGAGCATGTTTAGACTATGGTGTGGGGTGATGTTTCTCAGAAAAAGGAACATTCAGGCCTATCTAAAATTTGCAAGAAATACCTTCTAGCACTCTGGATCATGCATGTGAGAAAATGTCTGATTAAATGATACAAATAACATAGTCTTACTTCTAAGAGACAGTCTATCATCCAGAGATCACTTACTGTGAAGTTTGGGGGTGGTAAGATCATGCTTGAGGGCTGCTTTTCATCCGCTGGGACTCAGGGGCACCAGTCAAGATAGATAAGATGGTGAGAGGCTCCTAATATCAAGACATTTTAGCCAAAAAAACCTGCTGTCAGAAAGCTAAAGATGAAGAGGAATTTTTGCTTCCAGAACGACAATGAGCCAGAGTGTATATCCAAGTCAAGGAAGGGAATGGCTTTAGAATAGGAAGATCAGAGTCAATGGGTGGTACAGGCAATCCCATAGAAAACCCATGGAATGACCTCAAAATCAATTTCAGGAGTTTGAACTTTTTTGCAAGGAATACTGGGACAAAACTGCAAAGTCAAGGTTTGCGAAGTTGATAGAAATTTATTTACAAAAACTTGTTATAATAAATGCATCAGGGGCTTCTACAAAGTATTAGTTAAGGTGTGTATACACATTTTTGCAGGGTTTGTGTGGTTTTATTTCAATGATCTGTTGTACTATTTATTTTTTGTTATTTTTCTGGTTAGTATTCTGGTTAGTATTCTGGTTAGTATTGCCACATCAATTAAGTCAATTTTTTTACATGATTTATTTACATTTCTGACTTTAAAATACAAAAACCTGCAATTTAAACAATGCCATGCAGACTTTAAATATCCACTGTATTTAATTTTTTTCGTATATAAATAAAGGTAATGTCTGTCCTTATATTCATTGTTTTGTAATGCACAATCAGTATCACTCTAGGTCCATACAGAAATTTGCAAAACTTTGAATATGGAGAGAATGCTGTGGAAATCTTTCTTACACTTAATATTGCAAAGTGACATTTGATTCAAAGAGTGGCATAATTTAGAGAATCTAGTCCATTACCATTTTCTGCTTATTTTTCAAAATAAAAGACCCTGTGGTCTTGATCAGGGCCCTAACATCTGAAGTGTGTTTTGAAAGGATACAGTTAGTCTGTGCTTGTCTTCACCAAAACAGGTCCCTCAAGAGTAACATCATTCAGAAACTTGTCGAAGATGGATTTTCCAGATACTCGGAGTTACAAAGACTGTGAGTATCACCCCTTGTATCTCATGGTCTTTGGCCTAGTCCACATAGAAGCCGTCTCCACATGAAGGAACATCCTGTCCGTATTCAGTGTATTTTGAAAGGAAATGCTGAAAAAGTTGTTGCCAGGAGTCATTGTAATGGAAATCTCTCTTTCGGCCCTGAGGCAGGTGAATGCCTCAGAGCGTCTTAGCCATAATCATTTAGTTCATCGGGAAAAGTGATTTGCAGCACCAGTAGATTAGGGTCTAAATATAACATATAAAATGGGTAGGGAATATGCCACACGAACATCTGTTAGTAAATAAACTGCAATCAGGGGAAGGGGTGGGGGGATTTTGTCATGGGGGTACTGGCCTCCCCTGGCACCCCCAAAACCGCCCCGATATATATTAAACTTAAAATAACTAAACATTTACCTTTTGGAGTTTAACCAATACACTGTATATATGTTGGTTATTAACCTCCTTTTGATATTCACAGTGGTAACTAGGCCAAGTAAACCATTGTCCATAAAATTGAAATAACCTGTTTTTGCCAACAGTTTTCTTCAGAGGAATAACATATGGAGCGTGTCCAGTCGAGCTTTCAAAGGACTGTACAAGCTCCAAAAACTGTGAGTGTCTTTACAGAGTTTGTTCTGGAACAGAGAAAGCAATAGCATGTGCTAGTATGTCTAACACAAAATTCTTCAGTTAAGCTCCCTTAAGCGAGGAAGAATATGGGAAAAGGCTGTGAGAGAACCACTGTTCTGCACAGTTTAGCCTAGCAAAGTACTTAACTACAAAAAATAAAAACATAACATGGGATCTGTTTAAAGCTAGTTTTAAAATGCCCTGTAACTCAAAGACACACAGTGAACACACATCCAAACAGCTACATGGCAGTACATGCCAAAAGGCTTTCACTCCAGCTCTGTTCCAACTGTCACACCTACTAGACTACTAAACTACAGTGGTACCTCAGAACTCGAACTTAATCCGTTCAGAACTCCGGATCGAATCCTAAAAAGTTAGAGTTCTGATCGAATTTTCCCCATAAAAAATAATGGAAAACCAATTAATTGGTTCCCGGCCCCCAAAAATTACACCTAAATATGTTTTTTTTTTTTAGCATTTAAACACAAAATGATAAAAGAAGAAGAGCATATACTGTACTAAACACATCTAAGCACATTTATCAAAACAATAATTTGTAAAATAAGAAAATAAATGTATCCAAACAATGTGTAAAGTTAAAAAAAAACAATGTGTCCTGCCCCGATCGTCCGCTCCTTCCGTGTGCCACGCCCCCTTGTTAACCCCATGTGGAATCCCCGTGTGTTCAGCTGTTTCTGGCTGTTGTCATTAGTCCTCTGTATTTAGTCCGCGTTTCAGTTTGTTTCCCCAGTCTGGTCATTGTATTGTCCGTCTGCGTTTTGCCTGTCTTACCTGTAATTAAACCCAGTATTCCCCGATACTCTGACGTCTGCGCCTGTCTCCGTTTTGTCCCCGCTCCGCACGGCAATATTATTATAATTAAATGCATTCATGTTAATTAATTATTAATATTAAAATAATTGATAAATCTTTATTTTTAAATATATTTTATTATATAATAATTACTGTTACTGTCTATCATTGTCTAAATGTATTTTTTATCTAAATATATGTATTCAGCTAGTGTAAACATGCACGATGCTATCACAGCGAAGACTGAAGCGTTACCCTTTGTTTCCACTGAGCAGGGGCGTAGCACGAAATTCTGGGCCCTATGCACAAACAGTGCCCACCCCCCCCCCAAAAAAAACAGCCTAATCACACGACTTCACTGGAATTTGGTTTTATTTGTAGGATGATTAAAAGCTATAACAGGAAATGTCACCAAAGGTAGCCTAACATCATAGGCCTGCATGAGAATTGAACACTTTTGCATTTGGCTATAGAGAACAGCTTTTTATCAAGTAGCCTATTTTTTATTATTACATAAAAGAAAATGCCATTTCAGATTTCCACATTGACAAACTACTTTATTTATAATGAAAGATAAATGACTAGTGAGTCCAGTTTTGTTTTTCATTAAAAAAGGGCAAAAAGAAAACACTGAAAAATGGCAATGGGCAAAAAGCTAAACACAAACTTATATCCCAGTTAGTGCTCACTGGGATACGCGGAAGTGCGGCTGTTTAGAATGTGAATAGCGATCTTCACGCGAAGGCGGTACTACACGCCCCCCATGCAGGGAAAACAAAGAAAGGTGACATGGTTTACTTTTTGCCGATTTAATCTAATTTTAAAAACTTTAAATACCTTCGACAATGGAATTTTGAAAAGAAGACAGATTACAGATTTAGCCAGCGTTTTTTCCATGATTCTACACAAACATTTCAGCGAGATATAAACTGAAATAGACGAGAAAGATACGCGGCGTCGCCGACGATGCCGTGTAACCCAGGGGGTTAAGCAAACAAAAAAAANAGTAGATTAGGGTCTAAATATAACATATAAAATGGGTAGGGAATATGCCACACGAACATCTGTTAGTAAATAAACTGCAATCAGGGGAAGGGGTGCAGTGAACTGATGTTATGATTCAGGTTTTAGCTACAGGCTCCTTTAGTGAAAAGTGGCTCATAGTTAATGGCATCAGACTCACAGATCTCAGTCTGCTTTACCTTTGTCTGTGCAGGGGCTCCATCCTCACTAAAGTAAAACATACTGCAGGCATCACCGTCAATTGAAGGGCATCAAAGTGGGAGATCAGCTGCTGTATCTGCTGTTGCAAAAACATGGAGAGGAATTTTTATTTAAAAATTGGGTTGCAAGGACAATTATTATTATTTTTTTGATAGTGATTAATTGTCATTGTTGACACACCACAGCAAAGTGTGTCCTCTGCATTTAACCCATATGTGACGTCGTGACATAGCTAATTCAGCGCTCGGGGATCAGTGCTTGGGGGCGGTACCTTGCTTGGGGTACCTCAGTGGTGCCTTCATGGTCAGGGATTCAAACCTGCAATCTTTACAATTACAAGTGCGCTTCCCTAACCATTAAGCCACCACACCTCCAGGGTGGGGGTTTCAAATCCCCCCTCCCCAAGAGTAGGGTTTTCATATTCTCCCCAATGGCAAATGGATTTTCTCCTAAGACACTGGATGTTTTTCAATCCCAAGAACACAAAGATTATACTTGTGTTCTTGGCAAGAGCATTCTTGCTAACTTACCTCCCAGGAAAGAACTTGGAATGCAATGAATAATGGGATTGTTCTCATTAGCGAGGATGCAACCGATGCATCCTTGAAATTTGAGATGGGGGAAGAATGATATCTGGGGATTTTTACCGTCCTCTGTACTTCTGTTCTTGAGTATTGGAACTGTACTTCGACAATGGAAGATGAAGTCAAATGGGTACATGGGAACACAAGAATGGTCAAGTAGGCATACTGATAAACATCCATTGTGTTATGTTGATTTGTATATTCAAATTGCCTCTACTGTCTGTTTATGTGTCATTCGATGGACTAGGTGCACCTAGTACCCTTTGCAGTCTCAAACAGGCTTCAGGCTCTCTGAGAACATAACCAGGATAGGTAGTTGAGTGGGTGAAAATCTGTGATAATTCATATTTTCTATTAATTACTTTTGCTATCTTTATTTAATGGCCATATCACTATTTACCCCATAATTTTGTTAGTTTGGCATTACCAGCAAGAAATGATTAGGAAAATAAATGTCAGTTGACGTCTCTGCTCAACAATGAATGAGGAAATGCTTGGATTTTTATGGAAATGCTACCAGGAATTGTACATATTTTGAAGTGCTGGTGGGTGGCTGATGTGATGGTGTTTCTGAATCCAGTACGAGCTTCACTCCTAGGGCTCATTCACGGAATAAACCCCCCCCACACTCCCCTGTCAGCTCACATCCAGCTGGTCTGCAAGTGAGAACATCCCACACTGTCAGGCCTAATCATGTTTTCCCCAGCTTTTGGAGAGCTACAGTTTTATCTTTGCGACATGCTTGGTTATTAATTGAACACGCTACATGTTTAAAAATGTATATATCGGTGACAATTCTAGACCATTTTAACTGAGGGGGGCAAGCTGGAACCAGTTCTCTTGGGGTAGGGCTGATGCCTTTGACCTTAATGTCCTCCAAGTATTACTTACACTAGATTGCCAGCATCAAGAAACAAAAGACAAGTTATGCAATGCTTTGCAGTCACATTTTACAGTTTTTACAAATTTCTAATGCACTCATTTCTTGTTTAGGCTGTCTTGCTTCCACAAGCTTGGTTATTTTTTCTGTTGTTAACTTTGCTATTCACGAACTGAAGCAACTCGAGCACCCGGCGCAACTACGTTAAGGGTCCGTCAAGGAAATGTGCTTACATTTGTGTTTGGCCTGTTCCCAGCACCTAGAATTTTAACCCACATATATAAATGTAAATAATATTAATAGTAATAATAATAATGCCCAAGTAGCATACGTATTTAGGGGAGCCCCGGGGGGG